TGACAGAGAGAGACACAGCGAGAGAGGGAATACAAGCAGGGGGAATGGGAGAGGGAGAAGCAGGCTTCCCGCGGAGCAGAGAGCCCGATGCGGGGCTCGATCCCAGGACGCTAGGATCATGACCTGAGCCGAAGGCAGACACTTAACGACTGAGCCACCCAGGCGCCCCTAACATATGATGATTTTAACATAGGATGTTTTGACATTGTAATAGCAAACTGTGTCTACACTTGGAAGACTTAGATAACTTGGTGAACCATCATTTTCTAAATGGCCAGTGCATGATGTTAACACCTGTCAGGTGTGGGTCAAAGAGCCATTCAAAGTGCAAGATACACCAACGGATTTTAATGTTAAGAGCACAAAAAGTTCATTCATAGGATCTCAAATTCCACACTGCACCAAATTTTTAAGAAACTACCACTTGTCAAGTTCTGGTGTAGTGTCAGAGAAGAATACTCATAATTATCTGAAAAGAGGTTGCTAAAATACTCTTCCTTTTTTCAGCCACTTAATTTATGTAAGGCTGGATTTTCTCCACATACGTCAACTAAAACATCATATTGCAACAGACTGAATGCGTAATACTGAATGTCCTCTATTAAATGCATTAGAGATTTACAAACAAAATCCTGTTTTCTTTTTTTCTTTTTCTTTCAAATCCAGTTTTCTTACTGATTTTGTTTTTGGAGGGAAAATAGAGTTCATTTCATAAAGAGTTATTTATGTTAACAAGGCATCTTGACTGATTTCATTTATTCTTCTCAGACAACAGTCTGGATGTACCCCTTCCAGATTCACAGCATCGCCCTCTCCACGTTCGCCTCGCTCATCGGCCCCTTTGGAGGGTTCTTTGCAAGTGGATTCAAACGAGCCTTTAAAATCAAAGTAGGAAAACACTCTTTTCTGTTCCTCTCATTGTCTCCCAGCCTGGTCTCCTCCTGTCCCACGCCTTCAGCTGCCACCTCCTTCAAAATACCAAGCTATAAACCCTGACTATTAATGCGTGCTCTTCTTCACCCATGGGGGGTATTTAGGCTGGTTAATTTAAAGTACATTGTTTCTGGGGCACCTGGGTGGCTCAGTCTGTTAAGCGTCCAACTCTTTTTTTTTTTTTTAAGATTTTATTTATTTATTTGACAGAGAGAGACACAGCGAGAGAGGGAACACAAGCAGGGGGAGTGGGAGAGGGAGAAGCATTCTTCCCGCGGAGCAGGGAGCCTGATGCGGGGCTTGATCCCAGGACCCTGGGATCATGACCTGAGCCGAAGGCAGACGCTTAACGACTGAGCCACCCAGGCGCCCCAAACGTCCAACTCTTGATTTCAGCTCAGGTCATGATCTCAGAGTCCTGAGATCAAGCCCCACATCAGTCTCAGCACTGGGCATGGAGCCTGCTTAAGATTCTCTCTCTCTCTCTGCTCCTCCGCTCCCCCCCCACCCCATCACATGTGCGTTCTCTCTCTCTCTGTGTCTCTCTAAAAAACAACAATAACAACATTGTTTCCAAGAAAATTCAGTATAGTTGACCCTTGAACAATGCACTGATCCCTTCCCCCTGCCCCCGTCCTCCCATGCAGTAGAAAATTCACGTATAACTGTTGACTGGAAGAATTACTGGTAACAAACAGTTGATTAACACATATTTTGTATATTATACATATGATAGACTGTATTCTTACGATAAAATAAGCTAGAGGGAAAAAATGTGATTAAGAAAATTAGAAAGAAAATACATTTACATCACTGTACTGTATTTACTGAAAAAAATTCATGGATATGTGGACCCGTACAGTTCAAACTCTGTTGTTCAAGGGTCAACTGTAGTTGGATTTTCAGTTTATTGTTCATACATCTTGTATCTTTCTTCAAAAGAATAATTTTATCATAAGATGGTGTCCTATTATACCCTCGGCATTTGAACCAATACTTACTTTCTGTAGCCCTTAGCTACTCAGGACAGTAGCTGGGCCCTGAGGTGGGACCATAGTCCAGGGTTTGGGGTTGGCCTGGCCCGGGCTCACCAGCCCTGCCCCTGCCTCTAACAGGACTTTGCCAACACCATTCCTGGCCACGGAGGCATCATGGATCGCTTTGACTGCCAGTACCTGATGGCCACCTTTGTCAACGTGTACATTGCCAGTTTTATCAGGTACAGTGCCTTTCCATCTGAACCAAGTTGGTGGAATTTTAAATGTGGTGAAATTCTAGATTTTAGCTACATATCAGTGGGAGTGAAAAGCATCCCAAACATGAGTATGGTTTTCAGTTGCTACTCTGTCTGGATTCTCTGAGGGTCCCCCAGCCCTCCACGCGTAGGGAAGAGGGAACAGTAGCCATTTGGATAATCAGGCCCTAGAAGCTGCTGGGTCCCCGCTCAGCGCTGTTTCCTCACATTCTCTTCCAGGGGCCCCAACCCAAGCAAGCTGATTCAGCAGTTCCTGACCTTGCGTCCAGATCAACAGCTGCACATCTTCAACACACTCAGATCTCACCTGGCCGACAAGGGGATGCTGACAGCCACCACAGAGGATGAGTAGGGGCCCCAGGGCCGAGACAGCAGGAGCAAACGGAGCGAGGGCTGGGCTTCAAGGCAAAGCCCCACTGGTGTGACTCAGTCAACGACAAGGCTTCAACTCACTGTTTTTTGGTTTTTTTTTTTTTTTTGTAGAGTGTTTTTTATTTGTGGGTTTTCAAAACAATCTGTATATACAGTCTATGTGCTTATGATTTGGGTTGTGGGTAAGCTACAGCTTTGAGTTGGAAAGAAGTCACGGGGATCAGACCATTGGGTTTTTTAAACAAAAGTTTTAACCTGGAAGACAGTGTTGCCCAACTGGGGTACATCTGCTTGGTTCTTCTTACTCTCAAGCTAGAGTTTCTGTTGCTGGGCTCGCTAAGAGAGTGGATGTCCATCTGTGGCTGACCAGTTCAGGGGCACCCCCTGGCCTGTCTTTGTAGCTGACAATCCCCCCCCACCCCCCCGCCCCAGCTGGGAAGAAGTGCACGGCTTGGATGTCTTTGCTACTGGAGAGCTTTCACCTGGGCTTCTCGAGAATCCCTGCCCTGGAGCGATGGGACAGTTGCCTTCTGTAGGCTGGAGGGACAAAGGCTGATTAATTAGGTAAACGTGCTACCCACAAAGTCCTGTGGAGCGTGAGCTCTGCTTTATGATATGGGTTCACCTTACTTCGTCACAGACTGAAAGAAGGCTTCAGTATTTTTTTTCAGGAAGCACGAGAAATTATTTATAATAGTCTGAAAAAATACACTGTACTATTTCAAGTGTATGCAATGGAATGTACTGTTACGAGCCCTTTCCCGCAGGTTGTCGGCTCAAGTGGCTCCTCTTGGGCAGTCCAGCTAACTGTCTTTTCAGGGACGATGCCGTTCATGTTTGTGCTGTAGACTTGTTGCTGCTGAATCCTTCTGGGGGGCCCTCCTGTTAGGCAGGGAGCAGGGGGCTTCTTGTTCATGCACCCTTTGCCTGACCGACCACCCTTGTAGCTGCTGTGTTGGGTATATACTACTCTTAAGGCAGGTGTGTATGTGTGTGTGTGTTTTAAAAATCACTTACTTCTTGCAGTGATTTCAGTTGTACCATGACTTCTTCACTGAAACCACAAAATCCTGCTTACAACTCTGGAAACCTAACCCTATTAGAGGTGTGACTATTCTGAAGATTACATGCACATTTATATATATATGTATAATGTGACCGGTTTAAATGTAGATTGCATTTTATTGAAGGGACCTTTTTTCTTTTTACACTGTGATATCCCCCCCACCTCCCCCCCCTGCCTGATAATAGGAGTGAGGTTGACTTTGGGGAGACAAGTTCTTTGTCAGGACAACAAGCAAGGGAGGATAGGAGAGAGAACCTGGTGCCCAGAGGCGTTCAGTTATCCCGTGCCATGGTGATTCTCCTTGCCAAATGAGGGTGCGGTGACTTGCTTCAGCACCTTGGTCTGATCCTGGTTCATTCTGTTTCTGTTTAAGTCAGCCGTCCTGCTTCCCTGAAAGCTCACAGTCAGCTCAGCTCACTGCCATGTCCGGCGCAGGGTGGCAGGCCCCTCGACGTGGCCGCTCACGGTCCCTGCGTGGCTCGCCCCACCTGTGCAGCACTGACGCATCTTCTCCCCCCTGAGCTTGTACTTCCGTTTCAGCGTGTGGCTTTTCTGGTTCAGGGCTGAGGGCCCCTTAAAAACAAAATGTGTTTTTGCGTGGTGTTTCCATTCTGGCTGTGTGACCCTGGGCACAGGACACATCCCTCTCTGGGTCCTTGTTTTCTGAGTGCTCCCCTAATTCCAGTATCGAGTCATGTCCTGGGCACCCAAACAGCAAGAGCTTTCAGGCCGTTTCTAAATGCTTGTCCTTGAGATGACTCAGTATCTCACCAACAAATCTTAAAACAATGGAGGTCATTAGTAACACATCTAGTTTTCACATTGAAGAATGGACTTGGTTGCTGAAACCAGAGACAGGAGGGGTTGTCTCTGTTGCCTTATTCTGGGCATACAGTGAAGGCCTTGATGGTGGGGCCCAGCAGCCCTTGAATAAGGCTGTCTTTGGGATCGGCGTGCCTGGCACAATCCTTTGTGGAAGTGGTCGCTGAGGGGAGCTCTGGGGTCCTGGGAGACTGAAGCTGGATGCTCACTAGAGCTCTAAGCAAGAAGTCCAGAGGGTCAGCTTGGGTTTTATCTTCTATTTTCCCCACTTGCTTTTTGGTCAAGGAAGAGGAATTTCCTAGCCTAGTAGCCAGGCAAATAAAGCCACCTCATGTCTCTATCTACACACAGTGTTTTTCTTTCTCCCATTTATTGAGATATTTCACCACACAGACAAGATGCAAGAGACTGTTTTAACATACCCCTGTGCAGATCTTCATGAATGGCATAACTTGCTTCAGATCCATTTTTGTGTGTGTGAGAAATAAAATGTGACAAACTGTGTGCTCTCCCTTGTTGTGACTTCAGTTTCTCCCTTCTACACATGGTTTGATGTTTGCCACTTGTTTTTGCATCATAAATATCATGCAGTCCTGGTTTAGAGACTTGTTTTCTGCTCTGATTCTTCTCCTTTCTCACAGTGGCCTTCTGAGGTGCCTCAGGCAGGAGTCCTGAGCACCTTACCGGTGAGGACATGAGGACGCTGAGGGCCAGAGCAGCGAAAGCGCTTCCCCAGGGTCACGTGGGAGAGGCAAGCCTCACTCTACCTTGCACTCTGCTCGCCAAGACAGGGATCATCCCTAGCCCCACTTGCTTTTGTGAAAGTGGTGTTAAGTGTGCCGGGAATTCGCAGCATCCAGTCCTCAGGCCGAGGACGGCCCACCTGTGCACCAGGTTGGAGTTTACAGGGGGAGCCGATGAGCAAGGGTGTCATGGAAACCAGGGAACGTCTGTAGAGGGCTGGGCCTGAGCATCCTCCCTGGGGAGCCCTCATGACTGCTCACAGAACACCTGAGTCTTTTCCCCTTACAAGCGCTTGCCACCCCCTTAACCATCCTCAGCGTTGACAAAGTACACATGTATGCTTTGCTTCTGAGAGTGAAATGCCCTAAGGCAGCCTGGGTCTTGTTTGTGTTTATTATTTTTTGCCTGTTTCATATTCTGAGCATATTAGTAGCTACAGTATAATTATATTTAAAATGTATTTACTCTTAGTGTTTATTATATTCTTTATTTCTAGTTCTATAATGTATGTCTGAAGTTAGTGTCTCTTTCACTTTTAGAAGGGGTGAAATGTAACATTTCATCTTACACAAGTGGACTTTGGAGCCGTTTTCATGGTATTTATTTTTTTCCCACTGGGCTTCTTCTCCTGTAACTTGACTTATATTTTTGGAATCTTCCTGCATACTCTATTTTAAAGGAAATTAAACAGACCCTGATTGAGTCTAAGCTAGTTGCTGAGTTGGCTAGAGGCTGATCTGAATGGATCCTGGAGTTCAGATCTTCAAAGTGTCCGTGAGTCCCCAGCAGGCTCAGAGGCACCCCTGATGTTGATGGGGCTGGGCAGCAGAGGGTGTGAAGGACTCAGGGCAAAGTGCGTCACTGCTCAGAGAACTCAGCAATGGCCTTGCTCTGTAAGGAGTCTGCCCTAGGTCAATTTCTAAGCAAGTAGCTTTTCATTACTCTACCAGATGTGATCCATCATTTCTGGAACCTCTTCCTGTGTCCATAATATCTTCGGCACCATCTCGGTCTTTCAGACTAACTCTGTGCCCACCTTCCTTTCCCGTTGTGAGGATGTGCTGAGTAGCATTGAGTGAGGAGGCGGGTGGTTTCACTTGGACCCAGGGTTCCTGTTCTTCCAAAGTTAGGGAGGGGAGGAAGGGCTAAGAGGAGGATGTCCAGGTGGATGTCTAGACATCACCAGACGGTAAACCGTGGGCAGACTCACGGTGCTTGTCTGTAGCAGGGGCTCTGAAGGAGCAGCTGGAACAAACCAGCAGCTTCCTGTGGAGAGGGGCTAACTCTTGGGCAGAGTTTCATTATCCTGTCCTTTCTTGGTCAAAACGAACTTCTTCCCTTGATCGCTCTCCACCCAGTTGCCCAAGTTTCCAGTTTTTGAAGACATTTGCCACTCCCACTGCTGGACTTGGTTTCCCTTGTTGGGTTAAGACCTGATGGCCTGATGTGTAGAAGGTGCTGCTCTTTGGACCAAGTGATGATGAGGGAAGGTCTCTTCTAGGCCCACCTCCTCTTGGTCCTGGACTCTGCTCACCCACATCCTTGCAGAGGGTGGCCCTCTTCTCAGCGAGGAACAGTTCCAGCTGCTGACTGCTTGTTCCACCGGACAGTGACCCTGTCTTTCTGTTCCTCCTGGCTCTGCCCTGCCACTCCCCCTTTCACGTCACACAGCAGTGACCTTACTTACCTGGGCTCTCAGCTGGGTAGAGGCTATTCTTACCTGGGGTTGTCTCCTGATTGAGACTTTGACCTGTTTGTATGTGGACTGTGTTTTCAAGGGTAAAGAGATCACAGCTGTGAGGGCAGTTTGGGAGGTATACTTCAGATACTGAAGTGTTGGGGTTTGTAGAACATGTAGGTGATTTATGAGACCAGGGGGCAGAATATGTGGCATCTAGGATTTTATGGCCAGTGGGTTTCAAATCTATTGGCCATTTGAAGACCCTGTCCCATCTCCTCCCTGTCTCCACCAAATGCCTATCTGCCGAGGCTCCTTTTTGTTCTTGAGCCAATAAGATGCCAGCGGTGTGTTCATTAATAATAATTGCAATAATAGTCATAGTGCTTAATATGTGCCAGGTATAGTGTTAAGGGTTTACATACATTATCCCCTTTAATCCAGAAAACAACCTTTGATTAGGTATTATTACCCCCATTTTATAGATAAGGAAACTGAGGCACCATGACAGGCTGATCTCGGTGGTTAAGGAGATAGACTTAGGGCTCAGATGACCCTAGGTTTGGGCAGGTTACTAGGCGTAACTCCAACCTGGTGGGGTCTGAGAGTAGCACCTCCCTCCCGGGATTGTTGTGAGGATTTTATGAGATAACGCATGTAAGCATTTAGCACAGTGTCTGGCACATAGGAAGCGCTCAGTAAATGGTAGTTACTTTTGTCAAACTCAGTAATTTGAACCCAAGTTGGTGTGATGCCAGAGACTGGGTTCTTAGTCACTGCACTGTCACCTGCCCTGCACACAGCCTGGGTGTTCACAGTCCAGAAGATTTTGAGAGAGGCCATCCAACCTTTAACACCCACCTATAGCAGCTGGGTGCGTCATACTTTTCCTTCCTTTTGTCAGGCTGGCCTTCTAAATGGATGGTCAGAAATTCTCCACTCTTAGTTGGAATGGTTTCCTTGAGGTCTTGCCCACTTCCTGTTGCTCCTGGTCTGGGCTTTCCTTGGAGAAGGAGGCCCTTACCTCTTGCCTGATGGGTGCCTCCACTCCATGAGAGGGGAGGGCCTGTGACTCGCTCTGGACCCCATTTTCCTCTGCCCAAGGACTATGCTCTTTGCACACAGCTCAGCGGTCGGCAGCCGTTCCCTGTATGGGGGGACCTCGCAGTGGCGGAAAAAACAAACCTTCTGTGTGGCAGATCATAGTACTGACAGAAAGCCTAAAAGCCCTGCCCACACCCTCACAACATAGCCAGTCAGGGGCCTTGTGTTTCGTGCTTTCTTACAAGCATTAATGGGCTAGAAGCAGGTGACCTCTTGAGGATAGATGGTGTGGGGTGTTTCTGTTGGAGTCTGGGCTAGCTAGAATCAAGGTCGAAGGATCAAATGGGTGTGTGATGAATGAAGGGAGAACAGGCACTGGATTGTGTGAAAAGTCTTTCACTTAGTTTTCCAAACGGAGATGGGGACTTGGGGAGGGCATGGGTGTGCGGTGGAGGATTCTTTGCTTTGGAGGAATCTTGTTGACAGAGAATCCCTGAAATTCTCAAGCCAGTGGGCTAATGATAACGACTACCGATTGACCATGGACTGTTTCCTGGGTGTTGCTGGGGAATGAAAACCAGACTCAAAGGCCCATTGTGTTTCAAGAATGGTCTCTCTCCTTCAGTTAAATAGTGAAGTACTGACTATGACAGGAATCAGGAGGAGAAGGTCGGGGAAGAGTTCGGTAAGCAGCTGCTGTAGCAGGCTGATCCTGGCCTGCCCTCATGCCCTTCTGGACCCGCGTTTGCCAGGCCTGGCACTTGTTCCCTTTACTCTTGCATCTGACGGACCCAGGCTGTTTTCTGCCTGTAGAGAAGTGAGCTCTCAACTGGGGACAAGGGCCATCTGGTCATCGGGCTGACGATGCCCCTGTGTCAGTCTCCCAGGCATTGGGCAGGACCTGGCTCCTTGCAGCCTTAACCTTTATGTAGCGCTCAAGGGTTTAGATGGGCTCAGCCGCCTGGTGATTCTGTTCCAAGTGAACTTGTGTCTCTCTTATTATCCCCATTGCTGTTTTTGTCCTTGGCTCCTGGAACACGTCTGGTTCTCACCTCCATTTGGTTCATGGACTGGGCTTGCTGCCTTGGTGCCTAGAAACACCAGAATAGGAAAGGAGTTAAGAATATTTTCTAGTGGGCAGAATGTATATACATGTTTTTCTAAGAGTGTCCTTCGCGTGCTGCTTCGTTTTCATACACAGAGCGTCATATTGCTACAGCTGGGTGTCTGGGAACTGGCTAGAAAGGGAAAGAGCTGAGCAGACATCAGGGCCAATAAAACCAAAGGACTTGGAGCCAAGAGAACAAGTCAGGACAGGATGCAGAGATGTGTTGTTGTCCAGCCAGAAGACTGCCAAGGAGCCTCGAGGGCAAAGGAGAAGCCAGGAGTCCTGCAGCTGAGGACAGACAGACAGAGGCCAGCCCTGTGTTTTGGGGGTGTGGGGACCAGAAACAGAGCTCAGAAGCCCATCCAGGAAGATTCAAAGCTCATGGATTATGGACTATCTTCTGGAGCTGATGCTGATACCAAATTTTTATTTTTATTGGTGTTTAATACTTTCCAAAAGAGGAGGGGAAAACCAAAGTGGGCGAGGTAAGAGGCCCCTCTGTTGGAGCCCTGGGAGCTCTGTGCTTGTTGGGTGAGTTGGGCGCAGCTGTGGACCTGCTCAAGTCTGTGTGCTCTGAGGATCTGTTTAATGGGAAAGCTTCCCCCACACAGAAATGGCCTCCCTGCCCCATTGGGGAGTTTGGGGAGTGTGAGGCAGTCACCTGGGGCCGATCACCGCCTGTGTCTGTCACTCAGAGGTTAGCCTGGATGGACCCTGCCCCCTCAAGGTCAGTTTCTCTGCCCCTCCCCTTGTGTGGTGCGATTCAGTAGTCTCACACGGATAAGCCGGGTACTGACATTCGGTTTCTGGCCCTCAGACACGGGTGACCTTGGAGCAGCTCTTGGGTGTGTGTTGAGCTCACTGGACAGTCCGTCGGGCCTCCCCAGATAGCTGTGTGTCCATGTGTGTTGCTGTGCCCTTTAGCTGACATGGGGGTTCACGGAGTCCACGTGTATTAGCCACAGCTGACCTTTCTGTGTGCGCTGTCTGGTCTGTGTTGAACAATACATGTAGATTCTTTTTCAGCGCAGTTCCAGAACATCCTGTATTGTACACTGGGAAATATTTACCTTATTTATATACCTGAATGTTCCTGTTACACAAATAAACGTCTATTAAATTCTGTATTGCTTATGGTCTCTGCTGGGGGAGGAGTGCCTTTTGAAGGCCATGGGTGCATATGGACTTGGCTTGAGAAGGGGGGTTTGTGTGGAACCAGCATCCTTTCCCAGAATGCTGCCGACCACTGCCTGCTTCTAGAGACACTCTGCCCTTGGCCTTCGTGACCTACTCTCTTGGCTTTCCTCTTGCTTCCCTAACTCTTCCTCCTCACCACTTTTCTATCTTCTTCCACCCGTCCGTCAGACCATGGCACTCTGCCCAAGGCAGTCTTCTCCCGACCACTGAACTCTGTCCTGTGTTCTGACCCACTCCCAGGGCTCCGATGACCACACTCACCTCCACGATTCCCAAGTCCACATCCTTAACCCGCATGGGCTGTGAGGCCTCTTCAGGTGGACTTTGCACAACCAAACCCAGACCCTGGCCCTTTACCCACACGTGCCCCAGTGTTCTGTTCCATGGTCAGTACCTAGGAGCCATCTCATCAGTAAGCACGGCCTGCCCATTCTACCTTCATCCTGCCTGCCTGCCGGCTCTCCGCAGCCTGGCTACCTCCGCCCGCCCAACCCTTCCACTCCAGCTGGGGCAAGCTTTCTCTGCTGGGTGCCTTCCTGCGGCCTGAGGGCCAAGTGGAGGCTTGTTCGTGAGTTCCCCAGTCTGTACCCTCTGACGCCACACCCGGGCCCTGTTCTCTCATAACCATGCTCCGTGCATGTCCCTGCTCTGTCCCAGCCACTCTCATCTTGCTTCCTGCCAGATTTCTCTTCCCCTCTCGCCCTGCTTCCCCCACCTGCCTAACTCCTGCTCACCTTACTGTCCCACCCCAAGACTCTGCTTTCCCGGCAATCCTGTGGGCCTGGTGGGGGGTTGGAGGACACCCCGAGTCTGCAGTCCTGGGATCCAGTGGGCCAGTCCCACCCGGGCTAGCACCTTGGACCAGTGGGACCCCAAGTGTTTGCCTTTTGCAAGGGGCCTCTGCCTTTCTCATCCACAGGGACCCTAAGTAGGGGGACCTCTGGAATGAATTGCTTGCCAGTAGTTAAGGTGCAAAAAAAACTGCACTTCTCTTAATCCAACAAAATCTCACTCCAAGCCTTGGGTTTCCAAGGTTAATGAGAAAGCCAACATTGGTTGTTTTCTCTGGCTGCCTGCCCCCCTGTTATACTGGGAGCCGTGGGCTCGTGTGGTGCTGGAGAAATGGTGGGGGCCTGGATCTCCTGTCCCTTGCTGAAGGCTCTTGTCCCAGCCTGTGAGGTCCATCTGCTCGCTCTGAGGAGGCCCCAGTCAGTGGCATCAGGGCCTACCTCCCGTGGGCATCCCTGCAATCCCCGCTTCTGATGTCCTTCTACCTCAGAGGCCCTGTGCTCGGGTCTGGGTGACCTCCATGCATTCAGCAGGTGCTCCTGGAGTGTCCGCTCTGTGCTTGGCCCGTCTGGACGCTGGGGATGCAGCAACCAAGTCCCTGTCCTCATGGAGTTCATTTTAGGAGAGCATGGCAGACGCATGAAAAAGATAGTATATGTTAGTTAGCTGGAGGAAACGTAGCCAGGAGAGGGGAACGCCTGTGGGGAGCGATTGTTTTAAATAGGGTGATTGGGGAAGACCTTGCTACCAAGGTGATGTTCGGGCACACTGAAGGGTGTCGGGAGGGTGTTCGGGCAGGTGCACAGCAAAATGCAAAATGTCCTCAAGGAGCTGCAGTGATGGATGGAGCAGGGTGAATGGGGAGAGGCTATGGTAGGAAACGAGGTCCGAGAGATAGGGGGTTATTATGCAGGGCAGGGCCATTGGCTTTTACTTTGTGCGAGATGAGAGCTGTTGGAGAGTTTGGAGCCAAGGAGTGATTTGATCTGATGTTTGTTTTCAAAGTCACTTGGTTGCTGTGCTAAGAACAGATTCAGAGGGGTGGAAGGAGGAGGACCAGAGTGGGGACACAGCAGCAGCCGAGGCAGCAGAAGACAGTGGCTCAGTGTGGGTGGTACAGTGGGAAAGGGCAACATCATCAGAATTTGCTGGAGGATTCTACGTGGCATGGGAGAGGAGTGAAGGATGGCTATGGCACTGTTGTCCTGGGCAACTGGAAGAATGGTGTCACCATTGTTTTGGGCTGAGGAAGGCCGAGGGAGAACAGGTTTGGAGTGGGAGGTGGGGCAGAGAGGGGAGATCAGGAGTTTGGTTTTGGACACAGTAGGTCTGATGTGCCTGTGAAATATCCACGTGGGGATGCCCAATCCGGGGGAGTGGCCACGATGTGGATATTATTCTGCACCAAGAGGCTAGATGAGACCATTGATGGGGAAGAGTTCAGGTCCAAGCCAAGCCCTCTGTTCGTTGTTCTGCACTTAGGGATCCGCTTCTTTTCAGCTATGGCCCTTGCCTCCATCCCTTCAACGAGATGGTCTCATTTCTCAGGGAGTCTCAGATAGTCCAGCTCTTGGGCCAGGACAAAGGCCTGGATGGAGTTTGTCTTCAGATGGCCCCACTCCCACCTGACAGCAGAAGTGGCCGCTAACTTCCTCCTGGGGAAGAGAGCCAGAGTTTTAGAGGCTTGGGTGCCCTTTCCTCATGAGGGAGGGGTGCCATGACCTTTTTGGTCTCTTGGGAGAAGGTGGCAGAGGTAAACAAAGCAAGAGTGACTTCTGTATTTGGATATTCAGAGGACAGGCCGTTGGGGTAGAAAACCCCAGAGAATGGACTGATGGCCTGACGGTGACATCATCACGAGCCATTAGCTCCCCATAAAAGACATTGCTAGTTCGAAAATCAATCAAAGCCCAGGTTGCTGTCAAATGGGATAAAACCATGTCACCATTCCTTTAATGCCTATTCTCAATTTTAACAAGAAAGCTCAGCACATTTTCGGGGTCAAATGCACGTCCATCCGAGACTAGGTTCAGGGTTAATTCTGATTTCTATGAGGTGATTGAAGCTGTTATTCCTACAGCAAAGATGGGCCCTCTGACCTTGTTCACGTGGTCCTGATTTCTCTGAGATTCAAAGAGCCTTGGAAGTAGTGCTTTCTAAGCCAGTGATTCTCAAGCTTGGCTACACATTAGAATCACCTGAGGAACTTGAAAAAGAATCTCAGTGCCCAGGCAGCACCTCAGACCAATGACCCCAGAATCCGGGTGTTTTAAAGAAATTCCCTGGGTGATTCCGATGTGCAGCCAAAGTTGAGAACCAGTGGTTGAAACTCCCTCTGGTGAGTCTGTCCCCTCTCAGACACCCCCTCTCCCCCTGCAGGTGGTCAGCACCCTCTTGGGGGAGCATCTCCAGTGGAGAGCCCCAGGGTGCCAAGGTGAGGTGAGCCTTCTGGATGAATCACTGGAATGGTGTTGTACACCACGGCCACAGTGTAGAATGATGTGCCTCCTAGCACCTCCACCCAGAGCTCATTCTGTCTTCTTGCATCTCAGAGACTGAGTCTGCTTCTATTTTGCTTCACAAATACCCGTAGTATTTGCTATGTGCCCCCAGGTAGCTCCTGTCCTTGCCACCCAGCCTTCTCTTCCCCAGCTCCCCATCTTCTGCCCTTCCTTCTTCCTTATGAGAAATGCCTTCTGCCCCTTCCCTCTGCTAACCAGTGTCTGGACACACACAGGCTTATCCTTTTTGAGGGTCCCCTCTCGTTGCCTGTAGTTGTGAATATGTGTGCACATTGGTGGGGCTGCACAGGGGGTCCTGTGGGAACTGAGACCCCTAGTCGCTGCCACCCAAGAGGTAGCTTCTTCCTCCTCTCATCTCAAGGGTCCCCGCACTGCGTACCTGCCATAGTGGTTGTGATTATCGTCATGAAGAGGAGCCCGGGAGGGAGCCCTGGGGATCATACATTTGTGGTCTCCTACAGACTCCATCAGTTGCCAGCCACTGTTGCAGGAGAGCTATGGTTGGTGGCTTCCTGAAGGGACAATTAACTTTTTATTCGAAATAATTTCAGACGTACAAAAAAGAATAGTGTAAAGAACTCCCTACATACTTCACCCGAATTCCTCAAATGTTAACATGTTACCAATTTAATTATTCCCTCTCTCTCGCTCTACACACACACACACACACACTTTTTCAAATTGTTTGAAATTATAGACATCATGCCCCTTTACTGTTATGTAACCTTATTCAAATTTCACCAATTATTGCAATAATGTTCTTCATAGCAAAAATAATACATATAGTTTGGACTGATCTAATTTATCATTGTCAGTGGCTCTCAGTGGCTTTGAGAATGAGAAATACCATCCCTGCCCCCGCCCCATGTCCCCCCACTGCTGCCACCACTTCCTGGTCAGGTCGAGTCACTCAGGAGGTGTAGGTGACCTGGGTGCCCAGCACAGCGGAGCAGTGCTGTCATGAGCCCAGCAGAGGGCAGCCGTGGGTCACAAGCCAGGCACAGGGCTTTGGTGTGAGACACCGCTGGGTGGAATCCTGGTCCGGGGCCACCAGCTTTGTGCCTTGAAGGAAACACTCCACCACTCCGCTTCCTCCTCTACAAAATGGAGATAGTTGAACAAATCTGCAAAGCACTTGTCCAGGACTTAGCACCTACTACGCACCCATCAGAAACTTATTTATGATACTACCCACCCTGGTCTGAGAAGTGAATTTCTGGGGGATGCAGTGGAAGGAGCTGGTACGCATGCTCCTCCGAAGGCAGGAGCAGGGCCGGACACCCGGGCTGATGCACAGACCAGGCAGGAGGCTCTCGGGAAGGAAGGCAGAAGGAACTGAAGTTATCCCAGCAGCTGAATTACTGACCCTGGGCATCCCAAGGTCAGCTAGATCTGAAATTCTCCCTGGATGCTGATTGAGCATGTCAGGGCATTGCGCAGATTCCCACGTGGTGCTGCAACCCCCCCTCTGCGGAGGCCTTCACGAATCCACAAAGGAGGCATGGCTGGTCTTCTTTTCCATTGTGGCTGGGAGAGTGACCGACCTTGTCTCCTCACTCCGTCATTTCCTGGTGTGACCTGATGTGACCTGGGGGCTTCGGGCAAGTTCTTTAACCT